TATCTGTTTAAATCTCTACCAGACAGATGAGGAACTGAGTTCAAAGAAACCAAATGATGGGGGAACCATGTTCAGCTGTAGATCGGAGATAAGGTTCAGAGTCTGCACGGCCTTCATTAGGCTGCAGGGAGGGGCCAGTGTGGCAGCCACATTAGTAGCGAACCATGTGGTGGCTCAGGTTTTGTCACACACAGCTGTCAGGGCAGTGACACGGGGACACCATACCACAAGCCCGATGTCCAAGCCAGACATTCCACTCAACTACCCGCTGACCTGCAGCAAGTGACTTAGCCTTTCTGAGTTTGTTTGCTTACCCAAGAGGGAGTCAACTTTACGCAGTTACTATGAGGAGTAAACCAGACCCACTCCACATAAACTTTAAAAAGAACTGTGCCTATGATTACACCAGACATCCAGTATGAAATCTAGGAATCCAACTGTGTTCGTAATTTTTCTCCTGCTTAGACAATTTCTCTATCAGAAATAGAATGTGAGCCACAAAGTAAGCCCAATATAGAATTTTAACTTTTAATAGCCATATTGAAAAGGGAAAAGAGATGAAGTTCATTTAATTATACATTTTCTTGAACTTCATGTGTCCAAACATTACCATTTCAACATGGGATCAACAGAAGATCCATTAATAAGCAATTCTACTTTCGAAAAATGAAGTCTCTAACATCCAGTGTGTTTTACACTTATAACACATCTCCATCTGCACTGGCCGCATCTGGCCCTCTGCCCCACTAGACTTCCTGTGCTTCCTTCTGAGCCTGTGACTCTCAAGATGAGGAACACTGCGCAGGGCCAGCAATGATGGAACTATCACCTCGAATTCTGAGGGCACTGGCTAGCAAGTCTGCCCTGCTTTTCAGAATCATGCAGGCCTTCTGTTCCTCTATTTTACCAGAACTGGGCATTTCCACCAGTGACCCCTGGGAGATGGGGGGAGACACAGTCACCCCAGTCAGGGGAGGACCCAGCACAGCTCACACCACGCGACAGTCCTCTACACAAACAACAGGGGCGCCAGGCTGCCGGAGACAGAGAGGAAAGCTGCTCATCAAGGGGAACAAGTTCTGCGGGGGATCATAACACTGCCCCGTTATGATGTGAGGGAAAAGCAGTAAGGCGGGCATCTGTCGCTGTCAGACGGGACAGGTGTCCTCTGGGACCACACGCTCCCTGCAAGCTGGCTCGGTCCTCCCATGCTAGTGGGAATCTACTCTGCTTTGGAGAAGCCCAGAGAGGAGCCCATCGACAGTTTCCACGGTTGCATCTACCACTTCTCACGGAGCAGAAACTCTCCTCAGTCTTCCTGAACGGAGTGCTCGTGGTAGCTAAGGGACACCTCCCTTTCTTTACTTCACAATGCTCCTCCAAAGATGCCTTCAGACCAGAAAAATGAAGAAAATAATTTCAGATAAGAGGCTGAGGTTTGAGAAGTTGAGTTTAACACGCACCACCCCTCGGGGCCTCTCTCATCCTGCATTTCTAGCCCTGGAAGAGCTGGGACAGCAGAGGGAAGGACTGCCGCGGGCTGGCTCAAGGACCGGCTTTCAGACCGGCACACACCCTCCTCTGCTGCTGACTGTCCGTCCTCTTCCCTGCTGACCTGAAGGGGACCGGAAGGCCTTGGGAGCTGCGTGGGAGAGACACGGTTGTCAGGAAATATTTCCTGGGACTACACTGGCGACCTTCTGCCCTACTCCAAGTGCGGGATGTGCAATTAACTGGGGATCTGGAAGCACAGATTTCTCGCAGTCATCTCAAGAGTGCTTGATGCAATCAGCACCGGATGGATGCGAGCAACGCGGCCATTGTTCTCTAACTCGGACGGGGAAGTGCACTTGTGCAGCGACCCGCACAGCGTCGGGTCCGAAGCCGAGGAGAGTGTGGGGAGATGAAGACGACGAAGACCAAATCACTCTTGCTGGGACCAGGCGGGACCATAGCCTGTCGGGCGCTAAGGGCTCTCTGTTCCTAGCGGGAGGCAAACAGCAAGAGAAGGCGAGGCAATGGGTGTTGCGCGGCCTCCGCGGCCTGGGCGGGAGGCGAGGGCTCCGAGATCGGGCATGCGCAGAAGGGAGCAGGGGAGGCTGCCCGGTGACTGTCTCCGGGGCTGTGCAGTCCAGCTCTGCAAATGGATTCTCTACGAGGAGAAACGAGGCACGGAAGAGGCGAAGGGCCAGCCTCAGGCTCGCCCCGCGGCACACTTGGGGCAGTCAGCTTTACACCACGGCCTGACACTATCTGCGTGCTTATCGGGGTCCCAGGCCGCTCGGACGGGAAGTGGAGAGTTCACTAGGAAGATCATGGGCAACTCGGACATATCTCCAGGCAGTGGCCGATCCCAGTCTGTTTACGCAGAGAACTCTGCTGCTGCAGGGGCTCGGGCTCCTGAGATCTGAGGTGCAGCCCAAGAGGCTCCCAGCCTACGGCCAGTGGCCATGCAACACACGCACCTCTACCGTCTTAGGCCTGCAGTGCGCGCCATGTCTAGACCATCTGCTGCCCGCAGGAGCAGTTCGCTCCCTGGAGACCCAGGCCAGGGGAGCACAGCTGCCTTCTCCACCCTGCCCAGCTGGCAAAAGGGTCTAGCCAAGGTCTCACAGGGTCGCGCACACAAACATCCTGAAATCGCTTTTATTCTGCAACAGAATATTATCCTGGACGAGAGAACTTTGTAGAAGAGAAAACAACTCATACATTTAGGCTGGCTTTTGTTTCCTATTTTAATCTTATTTTTTTATTTTTAAATTTTGCTGAAGCCCACCTGCAGTGGAGTTTGGGATCATTCCCTGGGGGTGGGGATGCACATGGGGGTGTATATATGAAAAAATACAAATAGATTTTGTAAAAATAAATTAAATCCCCTGCTAAGCAATTTGTACGGCGACAAGAAATCCTTTTAAAGATCCAACATGGAGGCATTTTAGGGCCCTCACACTCTCTTGGTGTTTATTTAGTGCCATCACGTGACGGAGACACAGACCCAGCTCTCCCAGCCTCAGGGTCCAGGGAATGGAGCTGAGGAAGCAGGATAGACAAGAGGTGGACTGCAGACAGAGGAGCACCAGCGGGGACCTGTGACCGCCCCCCACCCCGGGGTTCACAGGCAGCACCCTGGAGAGTGTGGCAGTATGGGGCTCCCAGGCCAGGGGACGGGCATGGGAGGGACAGAGGCCTAGGAAGAGGAAAAAACGTAGAAGCAGGTCTGTTAGGGGGGTGCGAAGAGCAGGAGTTTCTCCCACTTGACCTAATTCAACGCATTCTTGACTCTGCAGGGTTGAGGATGGCGGCTCTCAAACTGTGCACATCGGTGCTCCTGTGACGCAGTCCGTTTTAGCTCCCCCCTCAGATTTTCCCAAGGCCTCTCACCACTATGTGGTAACGAAACTCGATTTAAGGTCTCAGTTCCTGCTGCAGGAGGTAGCTTCGTTCTAAGCCCCCACACTTTGATTTCAGAAGAGCACATAAAACACAGTGGGAAGACGACTCATCTGTAAACTCTTCACACCGATTCTTAACCATTTAAAGCTTTAGACGCTCGGTGGTGAAAATCTCTAACTGAAAAGATCTTGCTGGACTTTGCAGCTTTCCTCCACTGCCTCACTAGCCCAAATCCAAACCACAGGTCTGACTTCTCACGGGAGTGCAGGCCACAGAATCTGGCCAAATAAGGACAGACTCTAACACACGGGAAGATGCTCTATGTAAGGCTAGGCACAGCATTTACTTGTAATAGTGGAAAGATTACTTTTTAAAATACTTAAATGTACTTAAGTATGAGTGAATAATTAGATAATAATAGTATATCTGTTTCTGGAATTTCTGCAGCTCTTAACAAAGATGATGATTTATGGTCACTTGGAAAATGCTAGTGGAAGACAACGTTAAGTGGAAAAATAAAATGTGAAGAATTATATGTACATTATGATTACGACCATGCAGGAAATTTAAATATGAAAAGAAATTCACCAAAATGAGAAGAGTGGTTGAATTAGTGTGGTGTGATTATGAATCTTTCCATTTTCTCTCATGTCTTTAAACTTGAATCCTAGTAAAAGTATCAATTCTCAAAGTTAGCAGTTTGAACATTTAAAAATGTAAGCAGCACATACAAGTAAAAGAGAACAGGGTCTGCAGGGCTTTCCCCTGGCAATGTGTCACCTCCCAGAGTATACACAGCCAGCAGCCAGCCCTCAGGAAACTTAGGGTAGTATTTCCATGGCAGAAGGCACAGGGGATGAGTCAGTGCCCTAAGAGTCCAAGAGAGCGGCACGGGAGGACATCAGCCAGTGGCACTGCAGCGGTCCATTTAGAGACATCGCCACTCCTTGGGCTCTGGGTAAAATGCGGTCCTCGCCAGGGCAAGGCAGGCACACCAGGGCCTACAATTCTAACGACTTCCTGGACTTTTCCGACCCCAGTGTGTTCTTAGTTTGGGAAGAAATCAATTGAGTTCCTGTGTTTCTGCTTCTCCAGATGCTCAGGAGGCGGCACTGTACAGCAGTGGGATGGGGAAGAAGGACCATGCAGACCTTCAAAGGAATACAGAGCAGAGTCTTGCTCTTGCCTGACAACTATGAAGGCTCAACTTGAAAAGAATGAACTGTTTTCTGTCCCCTCTGTATAAGGGATACTCAATCAGTTTTAGTTATAGCAAGAGTTACCGTTCAGGTTACATTGAGACAAACTCATTTCAAGGAGAAAGAACAGCTAGTGGCAGTTGTGGAGTTTCCTTTCTAGAGATTTGTAAGGACAGGTCAGACACACGTCTGTCCGAGAACACCTCAAGCATGGTGCATCCAGAAATGGAGTGAACAAAAATAGCGCATCCACAAAGCAGTCTGGCATGTTGCAGCCATTCTCCCACAGATTTTAACAGATGGAGATTTAAACACAGTTGACAGCTCCTCCCGCCACCCCCAACAAACCACCCTCTGAAGCCCATCAGCCTCAGAGCGAACTCAGAGAGCTGACTGGAATGGCTTTACCTGTACTAGGAGTTCCAGCTTCCTGTCATCAAGAAGATGGACTTGACATCGACGGCCCTCCGTCATCTACGAGGAAGAGAAATGGTGGTCACTGAGAGTCCAGAGGTCGAAGGGTCAGAGCGGCCCAGGCCCAGCTCCACAGGCATATTCCCTGGGCGCAGCTTACCGAGGGGCTAGTGCCACACCGTGCCAGGGAGTGGCAGGACTGCTTCATTCAGGCATCCAAGAACATTTACTGAGCATTTTCTATGAATCAGGCACTATTCTGGAAGCTGCATGAGGTGTGCATATAATTTAATTTCAATGAAGAAGGCTTTGTCACTGGCATCTGAAATCCCTGCAAATGTCGTAATGGCTCTCATGAGCTGGCTCACGTGGCTCCTTCCAGCCCAGTATCTCACAGGACCTGACAGCTCCCAGGAAAGACAGCTTTCCCATAACCAGCCTTCCCAAGCAGATCAAAAGAAAGGGCGTGCTGCCAGGGATTTAGCTCAGTGGTGCTGTCACCTGACTCACAATTGCAAGGTCCCAAGTTTGATCCCTGATACAAAAAATAAAAACAACAACAACAAAAACCTACAAAAGAAACGGCGCACATGTGTGGATCCTGGCCTCAGCTCACTGTAGGGACAACGGAGTGTTCCCCATGAGCACTTCCTCCAAGAAACATGGCTCTCCTCTTATCCAACTGGAAATATTCTGGCCACCTGCATGTTCCAAACTGTCATAGACCCTACAAGAAAATCCCCTTAATTCCTGCTTCGAAGCAAGTATCCCATCATGCGCCCATGGAGACAGAGTCCCCTAGTTTTAAGGCCTAAATCAGGCAGCACGTGTAGCTCGGACAGGCCAAATCTCAAACATCTCTGAATTCTGAGTTACAATACTGACTCAGCACTTTCCAGCTCTGAAAAATACCAAGAAAAGTTTGACCAACTCGTAAGTATTCCATCAAAGATTAAAATAGATTGTAACTGAGCAGAACTTCAGCCCAAAGGCTTGCTATTTGCACATACAAGTCAGAGAAGGAGTCCTAAAAGAATCTGTCACATAGTAGGCATTCTGAATGACTTAATTTAAAAAATCCATCAGCCTCATTCCACTGTTAAGGTCAATGCAGCCACCACATTTTTAAATTAGACCAAAATCTGTGCTGCCACACCACATATATAAATGACTCCTTCATCCAAACAGAAAAGTACACCAAAATGTTAGATTTGAATTTCAACAGGGCAGTTAATAGTCACTGTACAGGTACAGGACTTGGGATACAGTTTTTGAGCGGTAGCAATTCACTTCTCCTTAGGAAGGTCGATGGAGTGAAGTTCTAGGGAGGGGAGTTGGGCAACCACCCAGCAGATTATCTTGAAATTGTTTGAAAAACAATTACAATTTTGAGACAATTCCCAGCAGAATAGAGCTGGGAAGAGTTTTCCGTAAGAAATCCTGCTTGTGCTTTGCACATTTCAGACAGTTTTGAGCTGCCTTCCACTGCAGAATATCAAGGGTATGCACACGCTTGCAAGTCACTTACTCAGATTCTAACAAATTTTGTGAAAACAACTTGGTCTCTGAAAGACATTACTACAGCGAATAAAGTTTGAATCACAGTAATAAAAAAAGAGCTAGTTCATCACTTTCTCAAAATATTCCAGGGCACATAAAGTTCAGAATTAAACATCTACCCTGAACATGTTGAATTTCATCTGGAAAACACAATTTCATCAAGTTAAATAATCGCACTTCATCTGCTCTGCAATTCAAGGAGTAGCTATGCATGGAGATGTTAGTGTCTACTCCTGGGGGATTTGCAAGCAGGCCTCATATTTTAAATAGCCCTGCAAAAAGCCGGCACGGAGAAGTCTGACCTGAAACACATGTCTGAATCGTGCTCGTGGAGGTACAACTCTATGCGACTGCAGTGCTGCCGCATTTCTCAAAGGGACACCTGTCTGTGTCCCATTCTCCAGCAAGCCTGGAGCGCCCTGTTTTCACCATGGGTTCACCAAAGGGTCACCCTTGTGGGTGTACCGAGAGAGCAGACATCTGTAGCTTTGTTTGGTTTGCCAGGCACACTGAAATTTCCTTCTGAATACTAACAATCATAAAATAATACTGCTCTCCTTTGTTTTTCATTTCAGCTGCTCGGGCACAAGTGGAGCCTTGGCATCACCCTCAAAGGAAATCCTTTGGAGAACAAGGATTCACATGGGCACAGCTGGCATTTATTCGAACCACAAACTGTCTTGCTGCAATGCACTTCCATCCCAAGCCCAGGCCTGCCAAGTGCTCCGTGACTGGAGGGATGTGTGGAAAAGTGTTATTCTGGAAGCGACGTGTCCACACTAATTCGCCCAACTTTGCTGTTAGGATGCACTCTGAATCACGAGGGCTGTGTGCACACAGGAACTGGGGCAGTGGTTTACGGGGGGGGCTCTTTCCCACCCTCCCCCATCCAAATAATATTCAACAACTTGTTCCCCTTTTTTCAATTAAAAGAGAGTAAAAAAGGAACAAAAAGAAACTGTATCTAGAAAGATAAGAGACCCTGTCTGAGGTCAGCCGCAGGAAACAGAGCCTGACAGGATGCTCACTCAGCAAATGTGATTAGCTGGACTTCTATTTTTAAACACATGAAAGCAAGCTTATTAATTTACAAATGAGAATTAGAGCTGTCGCCTGGCCAGATGACTCTAGATTGAAGGCCTACCGCACGCGCTCCCTGTAGAGAAGCCAAGCGTGACCAGAAGTGGTTGGGAGACCGGACCGGGCGGGCGCGTCTAAACTCAGGGACAGAGCCGCCACAGGATGGCAACCTGGAATCATGCTCCTTTTCACAGGACTGTAAGGCAGCCACAGATCCTGGGCCCAGTGAAAAACTTGTGCGGTTTAAAATAAAGACTAAAAAATAACCAATCGACACAAGTCCTCATTATTTTGCTCAGGGTCCTGGTCACATGCCTGCCGTCTCTTAGCCAAGTTACTGCACGCTGCTCTTCAGCACCCATGCAGAGCAAGTCACCAAGTCCCAGCTCGCGTTCATTTCTGATACAACACATCTACTTTATCTTTTCACGTAAATTTATTGATCTATTATGTATGTAGGCATTTGCAGTACTGAACTGGACCTAGGGCCTTGAAATGGAGCTACAGCTCCACCCCTCTTTTATTTTTTTCACTTTGTGATGGGGTCTTTGCCAAGTCACTAGGGTGCCTGGGCTGGGCTCGAACTTTTGATCTCCTGTCCCAGACTCCCAGGGTCCTCTGGTTGCAGGTGTGTGCAACCACACCTGGTTTGACACAATGACTAAGAAATACTAAAGTTTCATGTGCACTGAGAAAGAAAGAACAACCTCAAGGTATGTTTTATGTAGGAAAACCAGCAGCACTCCAGAGGACTGAGATGCTGGGCCCGAACACCTGAACATCAAGCAGAACCCAGAGCTCAGCAGCATCGAGCCAAGGCCTGACACACAGTCTCGCAGCAAGTCCCATTCCCCAGGTCCTGAGGGCCAGCCCAGGGTGCCAGATGCACTACAACAGCACCTCACATCTGTTCTTTGACCCTGCCAGTCTGCGGCTCAGGAAATTCCAAGGCTATGACTACAACTTCCCAGCATGAGCACTGCTGGAGCTCCTGATGGCTGGGCCACCTCGAAGTGTCACATCATCTCTCCTCTTCAGAAGGCCAAGGACTGATCTAGGTATGCAAAAGTTGTAAGACCGCAACTCGAAATAATCAGAAAGCGGCTTACAGCCAGGAGATAACGAGTGAGCGTGACAAACACCAATGTCCACAGGGACAAAGGCTTGGACAGGGATGACTTCAGGCAACCGAGGCTGGTGACGCTCCGTCCACCGGCTGCCCACTCCTGACTGGATTCACGGAGTAAGAGACACTACAGCAAGCACACCAGGGTCTTCTCTGCTCAGAAGCCTCAAAATGGTGAAGCCAGTGCTCATTTTCACCATTTATCCCAGCTTACTCTTCACAGTGCTCTCATAATCAAACTGATGACTGTAGAGGGGAAGACTCCGGAAGTCTCCTCCTTCCGGAGATTGACTTTGTCCCCAGCCACTCTGTGACCCCAGGCAGTTTATCCTCCTCTGCCCTGCTCAGGACTGTGCTTAGAGGAACAGCACACACAGGCTGCCCTGAGGCCCTGGGTTGCTGAATGCAGCCCTGGTTTACAAAACCCTGATGAAATTCTTAAGGAGCAGCTCTGTTAGAAGCACATTAACACCATGAGGCCATCATACGCAAGCTGGACCTGCAGTCCACTCGTCAGTGCTACCTTCTGTGTGCCCCGCGTGAGATGGGGCTGTCAGTGGGGTCACTGCTGTACCACGGGGTCTCTGGCAAACACACTTGCTGATGCTGATGCTGCCTGGGCCTCTGAATTTCCTGAGCTAAAGGAAAGTGGTTCTCCGTGAGGGTGCAGAGAGGTGCTGAGGGGTCACCTGGGGATGGGGATAGCATGGGGCTCCCCTGTCTGATGTGGGGGACAATTTCAGGACCCTGTATCACTGCTGTGAGGACCTAGCATGGTTCAGGCCAGTCCTGTAGGAACACGTTTAACCACCCTCACCTCACACTGCGGCTGGGCATCGGGCACGAAGTCTACAAGACAAGATGGTAGAACGAAGCCTGCCAAGGCCTTGGGAACTCCCGAGCAGCAATGAGCAGCCCTTGCCTGATCTCAGCTGTGGGATCTGGGAAGGGAGGAGGGAAGGCCACACTCTCCACCTTCCGTCCAGCTTCACACTAGAGGACAGCTGAGGGGCGGAGGCCGGCGGTGCAGCTCAGCTTAGGCAGGGGGATTCAGGCCAGAGCAGACCGTTGCCCTCCCTCTGTCTGACCAGCCGGGAGGACAAGGACACCCGGATGTCCAGAGGCACAGGCCTCTAGGCTGCTGGCCGCCACCACACTGGGCCGCTGTTTGGACCATTGAGACACCTGCAGGTCACTCACTGGCTCGTCCCACAGGTCTGCCACCGCTGAGTACCCACTGCCAGCAGCATTTCCTCCATCCCCGTTTGGAGCTCTCACCACCGTCGGGCAGGGG